TTTCAATAATCGAGTACTCGAGCGAAATTTCGCTCGAGTGATCCCATCACTAGTTAAAGCACACACCTCTTTCTTTTAAAGGTTTTCAGCAAAGTTTAGATCGCGTGATTTTTTCATATGTCGGTATTTAAAAGTGTTTTAAAAAATGTTTTTAAAATCTAGTAATGTACTTTATGTTAGACAAAAATAATATAAAATTCTCAAATACTCGTTAGAAAAACCAGTGTATCAGTATTTCAGATCTTCCTGAAATTCCGGATTGCAATTTTTCAAATTGTCATCATTTCATATTTATGATATTACTTACAGCTGCCTTTCTCGGAGACTTTTGTCTTGGAAGACTGGAATACGAACTTAATGGGAGATGCATCTTTGACGTTGTACTGGTAGGCGACAGTTTCCCTCCCAACAAAGACGTAATGGACAAAGGACTTGAGTTTTTCACGCCTTGATTATTCGACGTCGTGTGAATGGATATCGGTTGCGACCTTCCCTTTCCTGCATCCGCATTCTTCGCACCACTCAAGTGCGCACCGGACATATTCAAATAATCACCGTGCGGGTCCACGCAGCTATCCAAACTGCTCTGTCGATGATGCTGAATATTTCCAGGGATCATCCTGACGTATCCATCGATATTGTGAGAGGAGGGTTGAGATTCCGCCTCAAGATATCTCTGGGGCGCGGTTTCTAATTGGGGTGATGAAGACATCTGGGAGCTGAATGAACTTGTCCTGTCGGGCCGACGATTTCTTCCGGACATGTCAAGGTAGTCAGCGTTGTGGTCGGCGGTGTTGTTCCAGAAACCTGGAGAGGAGACAGCGCGCGAAGACGACGAATTCGAATTGGCTCGCCGCCTCGTTTGATTCATGTCCACGTAGTCGTTGGTGCGATGGTTCTCCGGCAAATTGGCCCTTCCAAATAGCCGAGCATATTCCGCTAATGGCATTGTATTTCGTGGACTGTTGCGGGCTGGACTAGATCTGAAAAATTAATAAATTTCTATTTAACATTTTTATTATTTTCATACATAGCGCATTTTTGTGAACCTCTATCGTTAAACCATACTAAAAGTTATAATAATATCTGATTTCAGTTAACTTATGTCAAATCAATAGAAAAATATTCATCTTAAGTCATCTAGTCTTTAAGAATCGTAAAAAACCCTGGGTCATACAATATTTCACTAGTTTGTGATTATCTACAGAGTGTTTTAAAAAACATGTGCCATCTCTCGTGAGGAGATTCCTCACGTAAAAATAAGATTTGTTTTTCATATCAACATGGACCCGATTCTGCTTTGTTTCGTAGCTACAGCAGGTTAAAGTCTTATTTTTTTCGATTTTCTATAATTTTTATCCAAGTGCTTTTTAGCGATTCGAATCGTTTTTTAAAAAAAATATTCCAGTGATAACGAATATGTACGTCCCTGGTAAATATGTCGCCATAGCAATGAAATATATCGCACTTATAGTAACTTTTACCCTCAAAATTTCATTCGAATTGGTAAAGCACTTGAAAGAAGATAAATCGAAAAAAGATGAAGACTTTACCCCTTGTAGTTACGAAATAAAGCAGAATCAGACCTATGTTAATGTGAAAAACGTTGTTTTTACGAGAGGAATCTCCCTACGAGGGGGAGCACATGTTTTTTGAAACACCCTGTATAATTTTTAAGTCATTCCAAGTTCTCCCTCTTCCTGTTTCCCCTTCGCTCCCTCCCCTCCCCGTCTTTCTTCTACAAGTAATCTATTTGTATGTAATTCATTTTCGTTAAGTAAGTATTAAAATATATATACAGGGTGTCCCAAAAATAAGTTCAAGTATATTAACTGGTAGAATAGTCCAACCAGGGGCGGATACAGAAATTTATTTTAGGGGGGGCCCAAATAAAAAAGTAATGTAGAATATGCTTATTAGTGCGCCATTTTTAACCCAAAAGGCTAATATTTAACCCAATTTATAGATCTATTCTTGTTTCGTTCTTGATTCGACCCCATAAATTAAAACCCAGGCATATTGTATCCGATGACCGAGCTGTCCATGGAAATATGCCACTCCAGCCTCTCTGTCTACTAAAGTAAGTGGTATCCAAGAAGCCCCACACATTCATAGCGAAATAAGCGGCACCACTGCCTCATCTACACCAACGGCATTTATGCTGATGAAATTGCAACAAATGCAATTTCATCATGATGGATCCCCTAACAAAATTTGCAAATCATTTCTTAGAAATTATGGAATTGTTCATTTCATTCAGATAATTAAAAAAGTCCAATCATTCGCCATCCTAGAATTCCTGCGTAAACATTTACCGACCAACGGTTTTGGTGCTAAACTACTTGCAGATTTGGAGCAGTAGTGCATATTGTTAAGATTCGCACCTTCGGTGTTATATGAAAAGTGACCCAAACGACATAAACTTTATAATATAATAATAAATAACACAAACAACAGGTAAAACACGAAAACAAGTGAAATCAAGGACGAACTTGGATTAATAACTAAATGACGTTATATGAATAACCCCTAGTTTTCAACCATACGAAATTCGGCGGTTTTCTCTGTTAAAAACAATATGGCGGCACAAAAATCCTAGAAATTTTAATAAAATTATTGATTCTCCGACTTTCGGACATTTTAATCTGAGAACTAATTACGTAATAATTAACCAAGACATTCGTAAAAATTATATGGATTGATGATAATGTTACATAAACACGTTTAAATTTAGTCATTTTTTTTTAAGAAAACGCCCGAAATTCGGATGCATGAAAACTGAACTTAAACGTTTTGATATTTTGCCGTAACCAATTTACCTCTTTTTGTTTCCTAGCCTACTATTATAATTTTTAGACCATATAATCCTAAGCGGCAGCCTAACATGATTTGTTCCCTTAATATTCCCGGTTAGAGAGCAGATAGAAAGTTGCGGTTTGCGCTGATATTTTGGAAATTTTGTGCTCTATTTAACTCTGCAAAGAGAAATATAGCCTCCTATTTAATTTTTTTACGCAAAAGCGCAATATCTGTTATGATGTCAAACGGCGCCCTCTAGCTACCACGAAAAAAATTGTGCAAACAAAATTTATACTGGAGATCATTAAGGAAGAAAAGCTCTTTTAAACGAGCCATAGTTTGTTTAAATCGCGTAACCTAAACCAGAGTTATCCTTATTTTAATAAAAGCAAGTTTTACCTTCCCCACCACTTTATTTTATGAGATAGTGCGAAATACTCTATATCAAAAAAATTTCAAATTTATCGATGATTACAATAGTAATATTTAAAATACCTATTCACCTGCATATTTTTGATAAAAACCCTGTTTTCTGATTGGCTATTAGAGAAACGGCCCCTAGTGGGCATTTTTCGAACTTTCCAGAATTTCCAAAATAATTTCCAGCGATTTCTCTTGGTCGATTTACTTATTAGATTTTTTTTCCAAAGTTATACGATCAGTAGTTTCTGAGATAGAGCCAGCGTCCATTCTTAGTTGGCCACCCGGTACACATCTACATAACAATAATTAAACTGAGCATCACATATTTTAACTTTTCGCAGAATATTATTTTAATTTTTACATATCAAACAACACTACATACATTTCTACATATTAAAAGCTTTCTTTACACAACTTTGAACCGGTGCGGTGGCATATTAATTCATGATATAAATATTCCGAGATCGACACTGCATCAAGACACATAGTCTTCTCCCACCGAGGAGTCCAATGATACTGAACACTACTGAATAACTTAAATATTTTTTCACCTTCTTTTCGAATTTTTTGAATCAGCGCCCTCTATTAGGTATGTAAATAGTCACCGTTTGACCTACATTTAAACAGATCAGCTGTTTGAATTTGAAGTTATCCAGTTCATTTGAGAATTTGCTCAAAACAGTAAACCTCTGACAAAACAAAAAATAGGCGAATGTAAGATAAGCCTCTAAAAATACTTTTATTACTTAAGTTGAAATATAAACTATTTTGGTGTTTAAAAAGGCGGAAAAAGGAAAAACAGAGGAGTTTAAATTCTCAAGAAATAATCCGAATTCAGATGGCATATTAATGTATTTTATGCTAAATACACGTGGGCATTTAAGCGTAGTACTGTCAAGAATCGCAGTGAAATGAAGAGTTGTTATAAGTGTAGAGTTGCGGTTTTTGGTAAAGTGATAAAACGACGCTCTAACCTAATTTCATCGATCTGCTATCTATCTGAATCTGAATTTCCCAAGTCGTTTTTAAATCTTTCTAGTCAATGTCTAATGATGTGTCAACACTGGGCGTAAAACAAGCCGAGATCCAGGTAATTGCTTGGTATTTGCAGCTGATTATCGATTGCTGCCGGTGCCTCTCAAAATAATGCCATTATTTTTTTACATTTTCAAAGTTAAATAACTCAGTTATTATTAATTTATTTTAAGAATGGTAAAGAGAAAATTTCTTTCATTTGGCCAGATCTACTACCCCAAAAAATACTTGTTGTTATTTCTGGAACACCCTGTATAGTGTTATTATTAAACTTACCCTGACATATCCATGTAGTTTTCTCTAGTGGAATTGTTACCACTCATATCCATGTATGGAGAGAAACCATTACCGATGTGAGGGGTATTACTATTGTTGCCGCTCATATCCACATAAGGTGAATAAGCATGACCCACCGTAGGTACATTATTCGGAGTCATATCCATATAAGCAGCATAAGCGTGACCCACCACAGGAACATTATTCGGAGTCATATCCATATAAGCCGAATTTCTTTGCCCTAGGTTCATATCGACGTAGGGACTCGTCTCGCTTCCAGAATGAGTCCTCGACCCAGGTCTCATGTCCATATATCCCTCTGGCGTAGCCGTCTTCTTGTTTTGATCGCCACCGCCAGTTAAGAAATCGAAAACAAAACCCATCAACCGATTACTAGAATGATTACTGTTTCTGTGGTTGCAGGAGGACCTAGCGTCGCTAGATCCGGAAGCGTTGGTGCTACTTCGAGATCGACTAGTTGTGGTAGACGAGAAGTCCATTTCCATCAGGTCATCCATGGGATTGTTGATTGATCCGTGGGAGCTATTTGTACGAGAATTCGGAGCAAGTAGAGGAGCGCTGCTGGATTTCACCCCCGGTGTATGGTTGTGATGGGGAAGGACCCTGTTGAAGTATTTTTTGGTTTTGGAACCGACGCTGAACGCTCGTACTCTAGAGTTCTCGGGGGTACTGGCCAACTGGCTATTAGATTCCGGAGGCTTTGAACCAACTGAATATGCGCGGTACGGGCGGGCATCGTCGTCATCGGCAAATACATAGGAAGGAACTTTATCCAATGGGTAATCTGTAAACCTAAAATAGAGAAATTAAATAATAAAAATCAATAATAACTCCAGAATACACAAATTTAAGTTATTTGTATATTTTTTACCTTAAATTAATTTTGTCCTATATTATGTTACCGGCAAAGTTTGAAATCCTACATTGTATAGAATTCCTAGGTATTATACAGGGTGGTCCGAATTGTATTCCGGAAACTTCGGCAGCACATTCTGCAGATAAAAATAAGTAAGATAGTTCGTATAAATGTATGTCCTAAAATGCTTAGTTTCGAAGTTACAGGGTGTAGAAGTTCCATTTTTATTTCGGTTTTTACCGAATAATTTCTGAAGTATCGTCAATATTTAGATGAAAATTGGTGTCTTGGAGTTTTTTGACATGAGAAATTTGATTTTAATGTCAATATGGCTCTTATTTGTAGGGGGCGCCATCTACATGTGTTTTAACTGTTTTGAAGAGTAATAACTTTTCGTCTGTACCTGTATAAAACTACCGAATGAAAAAATATAGATTTCAGTGACTTTTTACGTAAAAAATGTCTCTTGGTAAAAATCGCTACGAGCAACCGTTCTCCAGATATTTAGAATGGAAATAGTCCATACATGGCATATTGACAAAAAATAAACACGTTGAGTAGATAGTTATTTATTTGACTGAAATAATAAATTTTGGAAATTTTTATTTTTTTAAATGAATCATAAACTTTTCTGCGAAAAAATGATGATAATACAGTTTCTGTTGAACTTTTGATACAAAAACATTTCAAATTTATCTAATAACTATTTAGTGAACATGTTTAATTTATGTCAATGCGATGATAGGGTATTGATAATTTTGATTTCAAATATCTCGAGAATCATTACACGTAGCGACTTTTACCAAGAGACCTTTTTTACGTAAAAAACGTCGTAAATGTATATTTTTTTTTCATAAGTTTTATACAGGTACGGACGAAAAATTATTACTCTTCAAACCAGTTAAAAAATATGTAGGAGACGCCCTCTGCAAGTAGGAGTCATATTGACATCAAAATCAAATTTCTCATACCAAAAAACTGCCAGACACCAATTTTCGTCCAAATATTGACGTTATTTCATAAATTATTTGAAAAAAACCGAAATAAAAATGAAACTTCTACACCCTGTAACTTCGAAATTAAGCATTTTAGGACATACAAACTTTTTTCCTTATTTTTACCTGCAAAATATGCTGCTGAAGTTTCCAGAATACAGTTCGGACCACCCTGTATACAATTCCAATCAGGCATTGTATGAAATATTCCTAGGTATTTCATGAAATTTCTAGGTAAAGTATATAAAACATTTAAATTTCATTCATTGCCTGAAATAGTTATTCATTTTATAGAACACATATGTTTCATAGACAATGCTTTAGTTATACATAACGTCTTAACTAAAGCCTCAACAAAAATGAATTTAACTCACTTTATATCGGTACTGGGTGTGCCAGATGTAACGCTGCTCATACTGGCCGAATTTGAGGTAACGTTTTGGTTGCCGCTAGCTTGTGGCGCCAAGTTCATATCCATGTAGTTGTTTTCTGGAGGACTTTGAAAATTCATTGGTACGTAGTTGCCTCCTGGGAGATTAGCTCTAGGCGAGTCTGGGCATTCCTCTTCTGCTATTATCTCGTGTAAACCATCGTGCTCGTCTGGTAGGCTGTACGATGAGCCGGTGGAGTCTGATGGAGGACTTATAGGGCTACCTGAAATTAAATTGACTTTTGTAAAAATTTACAACTAATAAGTAATATATTATATTAAAAATAACAAAGGTACAGCATATTCAGTTTAATATGATCCGAAGATATACATAGAAACCACTGTTTGCTTATTAGAGTATTGTCGATGCCAAAGATAATCCAGCCATATATAAAAATCTTATTTTCTTTTTAGCCCATTAAGAAGACGGCACAAATTACTTGCAACACTATTTAACGGTTGATTTAGAATTATCATCTATAGGTTTTTTCGAGTTAGAAACTTTTTAAACTTTAGTTTTATGATTTTTGTGTTTTGAGTTATGTTTACGTTTTTAAAAAAAGGTCGGAGTACCGAACAAATTTCTTACGATATGGAAAAGCCTCCATAACAAGTCAAGAGTGACGGTCTATGATTCGAAGATATACATAGAAACCACTGTTTGCTTATTAGAGTATTGTCGATGCCAAAGATAATCCAGACATATATAAAAATCTTATTTTCTTTTTAGCCCATTAAGAAGACGGCACAAAAAACTTGCAACACTATTTAACGGTTGATTTAGAATTATTATCTAGGTTTTGGGTCTTTTGGAGTTAGAAACTTTTTTAAACTTTAGTTTTATGATTTTTGTGTTTTGAGTTATGTTTACGATCTTAAAAAAAGTTCGGAGTACCGAACAAATTTGGATCCATGGATCACTATCGCTGAGCAATCCCTTCCTAACAAATACAGGAGTTAAGTAGGGATGTGTCTTAGAGCCTCTCCTATTTAACATATTCAAGGCAGCGCTCTCCATTATAGTGGATAGCAAACTGCAGGAGAGAGGTTTGGGCATTAGATAGAGATATGACGCGACGGCGCGGCGGTCTGTTAAACATAAAAAGACTCAGGACAAAAACACGTACAAAATTCATTACAGAACTTCAATACGCTGATGATTGCGCTCTAGTTGCAAAAAGGATACAGCAATTACAAGAAATGCTGAACACATATACCTGGGCATACGATGCTTTGAGCTTTAAACTGAACATCGATAAAACTAAAATCATGTGCACTCCCCCGAAAAATCATAACAATGCTCTGAAAATCGGAGAAGAACTATTGGAATATGTAGCGGTATTCAATTACCTCGGAAGTTTGATTTCGGAAAAGCCTAATATCGACTCTGAAATTCACCTCAGTAAGAGCAGCGCTTCAAGAGCATTCTGGAAATTAAAAGACAGGGTTTTCTGCAATCATGACTTGAGTACAAACTAGCTAAAGTACAGACTAGCTAAAGGAACTACAAACGATATCCTAATAAAACGAGGAATAAGACAAGGGTGTGTTCTGTCACCCTTCTTCATTCATTCAAACTGTATTCGGAGAACAGACACGGCACCGCAAGAAGAAGATGCAGACAAAATGCAAATCATTTAGGACGACTAGATCTGGCGTAGATATAACATTTTGTGATGTACGAGTATGTACCCCTAGCTAGCTAACACACCCACAAACACCATTAAGATCATTATTTTAAAACTAAAAAGAAAAATAGTTGATTTTTTAGGATATAAATTAGACATAAATTTGAATTATAAAAATAAAATAATTCGACTAACACACAATTTTTCTCTAAAATTAACCTACCTGTAGGAGGACTGTGAGATGGATCCCTGAAGTGGTACCTGTGAGGTAACAAGTAAGGTTTTCCCCATCCTGGCACAGCATGGTTGGTCTCGCTGATAGCACGAGGTCTCGAAGGCATGCTGTCACATCTTTCTCTGAAGCCTGAACAGAAATAAACAGTTAGACATATATTCACTTATCTACTATCCACGATATGATGATACGCACAATATAAACGCACTTTCCAAAAGCATCTGAGTTAATTGGGAAGCACAAGGGTTATTTTATGAGATATATGACAATAAAGAGCTGGGTGATAGCGTTTGTTTTAACCTAACAGCTGGGTTGAAAAAATCCCTCGACATTATTTGAGATCTTCCCTGTAATAATTTATGTATAAAAATGTTTACAAATTGCCACCCTATGTGTATGTATGTGCACCTAAATTATAAATGTATAGATATAAAAATATATTTATGATTAATGGTGTTTATTAAATGGTATTTTACGACTTTAAATAAAAAAATTGACTTTATACTCTATTAACTTTTTCTGAAAATACTCGTTATTTCAAGTAATAAAATCGCAATAACCGTATTTACATGCCACGTGCCGGTTGTTTGGCAGTAGAAAATAATGTTGTTTTTAAGCGTATATTTATAAACAAATATTATAACACAAAAGTGGAACATAATAATTCTATATTGCATGAATGATGGAGCAGACCTAATGAAACATAATATCCCGTATTTTTGTTAACTGCGATTTAGTTTGTTGGTGTTAACTTAATTGTTAATGTCAATATCGTACATTATTTAATGCCTTTTGTATTTATTCATATTAAAATCATTTTTCAAAGTTCATAAAATATGGTTACAATCTCAAAAAGAAAGCGCCATTATCATATCATAAGACTTGGAAGACTCAATACGTGTAAGATTCTTCGGACCAGATCTTTCGGTGATCTTTCTAGGCTTGCTTTTACTGAATATTCAATAGCTTGTATACTACAACTTCAATAGCTTGTATATCTGTATAAGACACATCTTATGGCTTGTGAAGACGTGATTTATATTGCTGTTTTGTGTTAAGTAAGCCTTATATTCAGAGTTCCTTTTATATACTTCAAAGATATACACTTTTTTCCTTGTCCATGGTGATTTAATTTTGTAAATTTTAAGAAGCTTTTTAATTGAAATAAATTTGAATGCTCTATTTTGTCATACATTATATAATACGTCTAGGTGAGCACGAGTCCACATTTGCTAGACCAGAAAACGGCTATATATGCTCATGTTATATTCTCACCAAACATGATTTTGGAGAAAAGATAAGGATTTGCATCCCGACAAGAGAAGAATGGGAAAGCAACCTAGTAATGAACACTCAAGAGATAGCAGTCGCTTTCGTGACTTCAGGAGACGCAGGTATAGGCATCTTCCCAGAGGAACTAGACATCCGACGATCTTTAAGGCTATCAGATGGTTGTAATGTTCTACAAGCAGAGGTTTACGCTATAAAGGAAGCGACCAGTTACATACGAGAGAAAATCGCTGTGACCAATAAGAGATATCGTGATATACTCTGACAGCTTGGGCGCTTTAAGAAGCTGTGATGGACTCCCGAGAAGCACTATCCTGGCTGCGTCAAGACGGGGCCACTGTGCTGTATGCCAGGCCATAGTAATGTAGTGGGCAACCAAGAAGCGAAGACTCGCCAAAGAGGGCGCTAGGGGAGAGGTCGTGGCAGATAACCCACCACTTATGACGATCAACACACTGAAGGAAGCTATAGGAACTACCATCAAGGCCAAGCAGCAAGAAACGTGGCAACACCGTCGGGACTGCGGTACAGCTCCAAGACTGTGGCTAGTGGTAGATAGCAAAAAGACAAAACAACTACTAGAGCACAAGAAGAAGCTAGTACGCATAATTGTAGGTGTCGTAACTGGAAACTGCCTCACGGATGTAAACCTCGTGAGATGGAAGATTTCCAACGACGACTACTGCAGAGAATGCGGATAGGAAGAAGAAACCATAGAGCACCACTGTGCCACTGCCCGGCACTGGAATACCTGCGCTTTAGAACTTTAGGGCACGGTTTTTTGGAGGGACTAGAGGACGCAGCAGAAGCCAACATCAGCGACATGAGAGCTGGAAGTGCTTTAACGCAAAGAAATAATGAGAGGAAAGTTTGGTAGAATAATACAGGTGTATTGCAATGGGCCCAAGGCCTCCGAGTGAGGGATCAAACAGGAACCTAAAACCGAGCAACCTAACCTAACCTATAATAGATATAATTATAGCGTATCAAAAGTGTACATCTTTCAAGTAAAAGGTACTCTGAAATATCCAGAACTGTCAAAAGAAAATCCTAGCATTGGCATTATGCCACCTTTATATCTTGCCGAGCCTCAGCAAGTGCCCACAAACACAAGGTTTTCAGTGAGTTCTTTCTTTATAATAATTCCCGACCAAATTATTAAGGAAAACGCGCACTGAATCGAGTCGGACCGGTCGACTCGACTAAGAATATAGGCAGGTTTTAGTATACATAGAAATAAATCCTCTTAGACGAGTCGACCGGTCCGAGTCGATTTAGTGCACGTCTTCCTTTATATGTATACAAATTTTAAAAATGCCGAGTGAGTTGCCGAGAATTTTTAAGGGTCGAAATCATTTACGATTTAAAGAATTTTGTCTTGAAAAACAAATTACGAATAGGGACGAACAACAAGGTTTTAGACGAAATCGATCAACTACAGACGTCATATTTATCATTAAACAAATCAAATAAAAAGCAATAAAGTTTAATACACCAGCCTATATCTGTTTCATCGACTTGACTAAAGTATTCTATAAAGTACCTACGGCTATCTGACATTATAAACATATTGAAAAAGAAAAAAGTGCCTGATAATATCGTGAAAATTATCAGAAAGCTAAATATCGATAACACAACTCAAGTGAAAGCAGAGAATAATATAACACGAGACATACCAACACCAGGAGGCATTAAACAAGAAGGCATTAAAAAGGTGACCTCGATGAATATCGGTTATCGAGTAGGACACAACGGAGTTAGCATGGTGTGTTTGGTTAGCTGATGATGCAGCCATTCAGCCATTATCGCGGAGACAGAGGACGATATGCAGAGACAGCTTCATAAATTCTATCAAGTAAGCCGAGAATTAAATATGATTATCTCTACAGAAAAAAAATGCTTAACTTTCTCTAAAGAGCCGGTAAGATGGAAACTGGTAGTAGAAAACAAAATTATTGAACAAGTATCACACTTCCACTACTATGAGAACGGTCATACCAGGATGCGCAAATAGGGTGGATAAATCCCTTCATGCGAACAGACAGCAAAATTAAAATGTATAAGACCTGCATCAATAATGACATATGCCATAGAAATCCGAGAGGAAACAAACAAAACCAAAAGCATGTTAAGAGTCGCTGAAAGGAAGAACCTGAGGACCATAATGGGGAAGCCTAGAAGAGACAGAATTAGAAATACAAATATCACACAACAATGTGGAATACAGGACGTAGTGAGATGGGGTAGGCAAAGGAAGACAATGGTTCGTACACGTAAAACGCATGGAAGAAAACAGGCTACCACGCATAGCTCTTGAAGGTAAACCCATGGGTAAAAGACAGGGGGGGGACCTACAAAAAGGTGGTAAGACAGTTGGCAGTCCATCTCCCAAGAACTCCTACAGAGGCAACTTTAAAATTAATAGATCGACTAGATCTTAAATAAGTAAAAGCAGAAGAAGAAGAATTTTGTTTGTAGAGCTCCTTATTTAAGAGAATCTTAATACTGTTATTTACAGTAGTTAAAAATAGTTTAAAATACTGTCTTCGGAAAGATTATTTACACATGCCACCTTTGGTATTATCACCTTATTTACTCTTGGTTATATAAATACAATTAACTTTAAAAACTTTACCGTTAGAACAGCAAAATAACACTGGTTAAACATTCATTACATAAACCAAAACACTATTTTTTAACTCAGAACAGATTATGAAAGCAGTGAGCTTTAAGTTACTTTTATCTGCCGATGATGCTAACATAGTTAGCAAAACGCGAGTCCAGAGTTCTAAATTTAATGTTTTGCTGTATATTGTGGCAAACTGGTGTTATTTTGCTCTATGGTAAAAGCAAACCCAAAGCCCGATAAGGCGTGGCATGGTTATTCTGTTGGTAGGTTCTCTATACGTACTGCACTTCCCGCTGCTCTGTCCTCCCTGGGTGAACCTTTTAGATGAGTGCTGGTGATTGGTTAGAGCGGTGGCGTTGGTGAGGATGTTATCGGTTAACGGTGCGACGGTGCAAGTGGTAGCGATTGGCGTCGCTAGGGGGAGCGATTGGGTGCGCTGGTGGTTGGCCGCCCCCGACCACCCAGAGCCCGCACCTGCGGACAACACAAACACACTAATTTGACGGTGATCGATAAGAGGGGGAATTGTGCACGTGTTATTGTTAGTGTTGGGTGCATTAAAGGGAAAAAGTGTGTTATCTAAGTGCAATTTTAATAACGCAGGCATGCAAAACATAGTTTTAAAGTGATGTATGAAGCGGATTTTGGAAGTAAACACAATTATTGTGTTAAATCTGGAGTTATTTTTCGGCAAGATTAAAAAATATAAATATTAACATCAAAGTTTGGTTGACATAGTTAAAGTGTACTGAATACAAACTGATTTAAAATCGGTTGATACGATCCAAGTGGCGTCCAAGTGAGACAAGCGCAAATGTATTTCATCCAAGTTCACTTTGACTGTGTCAACTAGGCGTACAGAAAAGGCAGGGATATAAGGTATAATATATAGTAAAGGGATATTATACAGCATACACACTTACAGCATATACAGATTGGCAATTTGAAAAACAGTAGCAATCGGGAATATTTCTTGCCTGAATGATACTCTCGATTGCTACTGGTTTTCAAAATCAAGATCTCTTTGTGACAATTTCTGTCAAAGAGAAAGGTTTATAGTTGTCAATAATGCTATTTACTTTTAAACACCAATACCTCAAAAACTAATTGTACGATTTCAACAATGCTATGATTTTTCTATGCCGCCTTCATATGGTTGTCAAGCTCCGATAAATGTGCACAAGACCCTAAACTATAGAAATACATGGCTCGCATTTGGAAGTCGTTTACCAGCTTCTGAGTAGTGTGTATATATCAGTGTGCTCCTAACAGACAAGCATGGATTTATACCATACGAACAAAAAAATCAGACGCAGGATTGGTTTGAAAATGAAAATAATTCCTAAAATTTCATATATTGCCAGCTTCTCCACGCTCCTGCAAGCCAAGGCAAACTCCCCTGTTACACTTCTATATTTATGGACGCTTGCTTAGGGTTGGTAAGCATGTTAGGGTTTGTAAACAGGTAAAAAAACACATTTTTTGTTGATATGTAACTCTTAAATTATTAATTTAAAAAAATTACACTTAAACCACTAAATTCTATGTAAAAAGGTGTTTCGGCAATGTTATCATAAAAATACAAAAATTTTCCATAGCAAAAGAGTTACAGCAATTTGTTAAAAATGCACATTATTGAAAAACTCCGTAACGATAGCAGATATCGATGTGCGGTTTTTACCATCATGTTTGTGATAAAAAGTAAGCTCAATATATGTCTATCTCCTATAGAAAAGGGTGTTTTACTTTAAAAGTGTCCAATTTGGCCCACCCTGTACATACGGTCAGAGTCCTAAGAAAGAAAAATCCGCCATTTATCTCCGAATGGACTGTAATAGATAACCCGAAACACGATAGGTTCCAAATGCCACATCGTCCAGACTTTTGGATGTAAACAGATCGGAATGTCGCCGATAAAAATACAACTCGATTGATGAAATCAGCATTCGGATGCGGCGAAACCGAATACCATAAAAACAAGTGAATGAAAATAGACCTGATTCTAAATCTTTTGAATGGTCCATATTATTCGTAGAGAAATGTGACGCAATCAATTTAAAGATTTGATTGAATTTCGACTTGCTAATTTTTCTCTAAGCTTTTAATTTTGATCACAGCTTATACAGTACCAGCTGGTCTCGTCCTTTTTTTAGGGTTCCGTACCCAAAGGGTAAAAACGGGAACCCTATTACTAAGACTTCGATGTCCGTCCGTCTGTCACAAGGGTCTATCTTATGAACCGTTATAGCTAGACAATTTTTACAGATATAATGTATCTATGTTGCCGCTATAAGAACAAATACTAAAAACAGAATTAAATAAATGTTTATAAATAAAAAAGTACTGAAGTTCTTTTGAAGTCAACGTCTTGATTGACAAGGAAATTTTTTTTGTTGAAATTGTTTATCTATGAATATCATCACACAAACTAGATCACAAATTTGTTTATTAAAGATTTTTTATTGTTGGTATTGCTTTTATATTTTATAAAAAAAAACATAACATGATAAATAGTCTAGAGTGATGAGCAAAATGCAAGATCAATACCAAGACTCCCTTGGTCTTGGTCTTGCAGGTATAAAGTCTGTCTTTGGGCCGTATTTATAATCGAGTCTCAAAACGCGACTCGAGTCACGAGATGCAATTTGCCTTTTATAGTTCAAAATCGCGATTTCGAGTTTTCAAGACGCTGTTTGACTGGTTTTGTGACACTTTGGAGACTGTCATTTTGGACAGTTTCTTAACCTATCTTTTTTGACAGTTAAATAGAAAATCGAAATCCGTAGTAAACAGAATATTTATAGAGCCGTTTTGTATGGCAAAATATAAACAATTTTAAATATCTTAGGAGAGTTTGAGGATATTTTGGAACATGTGGAAGAAGAAAATCGTCTTTGGGTTCCAAAAAGATATATTCAGGATGCAGGAAATCTTGTAATTGAAGGCTTGCAAAAACCTACCAATCGTGCCTAACCTAATCTAACATATACCCCGTTATTTAATTACTAATTATTTTATAAGAAATTTGTAATAATAGTAAAAATAGACAAAATCTCGCTAAAAAATTTGTGGTTAATTTCGCAATCTCTGCATTTTAACGATTTTTTCTTTGGCCTTTTATCATTTCTGGTGGATAAAAACAAATTCCCTAGCTCGGCAATTTGAGACTGGAGTCTCGACGAAATAACGACTATAAAAGGCACTCAGTCTCAAGAGCCCCAGACGCTCTCTCGAAATCCCGATTTGAGACTCGACTATAAATACGGGCCATTGTCTTGCAGGGTCCAGTATTGGCCTTGGTCTTGCTGCAAGACTTGTGTCTTGCATTTTCTTAATAGATTTTTACTGCATGCACTTTCTACATAAAGAATCTCTAAATAAATAGTATTTTTTATAATTTAATGCAAATAAAATCTTAAAGAAACAAATTATTAGAATATACATATGTCGGACGAAAATTTTTATTTTTCAATATAAACTCACCGGCACGAAAAACGGTCACCTTATTGTGTCCTAGTCCTAGTTCATTGATTTTGATGATCTTTTAAGGAATTTTAAAGCTAAATTATTTGACTTTTTAGTATCTTTTTCTAAACTAAAAATGAAAGTTCCCAACTGTCAATACGAGGAAACACAAAATGTTTTTATTTTGGTGAAAGTTTGGAACACCCTGGGGATTATGTTAAAAAAAATCTTTATCATCTAGGTGCATCTTTTCTCGATAGTTTATTTTTTGGTTCATCTCATCTTTATTTATTTTGGAGATATTCGCTTTTGAAGAAGACTCTAACATTTTTTCGTATTTGTCACATTAAAACTATGCCTTTGTTTTTGGTCCCAGTCAGTAGACCTATGAATAGTGTTTATGATTTATGTAATGTCACTTCCATCCAAAATCATATAATTATTGTCTCTTGGCTGTTGGGCAGAGATGGTTTTGAAGTGCAAAAGTTGTATCCTCTATAGTTGCTTAAATTGAAGATGATAGAAATCAAAATTATGTCTCTAGCATACAGTACAGTCGCTTCGTCGAGACAAGTTCATATGCTAACCTTGATTTTACTTTTTGTGCAAGGCCAAGATCAAGACCAGTTTCAGTCATCACTATATTCAAGTTAAAGTAGAAGTACTAGCACAAAAGTCGTTTTATATATATTTTATAAAAAAAATATTTTAAACTGATTACAACCCAGAAATTATAAGCAAATACAAAAAAAATGATTGTAAGGAATGCTAGAAGTCAAAGTTAGAACTTAATGTTAAGTGCCAACATTTCGATGGAATATACCCAATACAATTTCAGAGCAGCCAGACTTTCGATTATATTTTCGAAAAAAATATATTTCGATAAATTTGTTCGTTACATCATTCGAAAGATTATAAAATAGCCGAACTATCTGTTTCCTTACTCTACGCATTGCCTTGAATTTTGATTTGGTCGCGTTGTGTGTATACATATTTCATGAAATTAAAAGTGTCTACAAATTTTCCATTCTAATCCCATCGGTGCTCTTATTTGACGTTTTGCTATTCAAAACAGATCTACAACTTCTAATGTTTCAATTATAGAATTCAAATACTTAAAAATTGAGCTTTTTTCAAATCTAATAGATGTCTTCATAGGACACAGAACACAGGAAACACACTATATTGATAAAGTAATTCATTTTTTTCCATTCAAATTAAATGTTTTTTAAGAAAAGTTTAAATTTTGTCAACATTCATGGAACACAGAAAAAAAAAATAGAATTGAAGATTGGATTCTGTATTTTAGTTGCTAGTTTGGGTTACAAATTCTTTATAAACAAAACATGAACCTCAAGATGTTCTAATTAAACAAAACGAAATTTATTAATAGATACTTTTGCAAATGTTACATTTGCAAACATTGATGGAACGCAGGACAAAAAATAGATTAGAATTTAGAAGTTTTAATGACGATATTCCTATAAATACCATGAACTAAATGTGGTTATTCAATAGTTTCATATTAATCTTAAGTTTTAAATGTATACAGGAACTTACTTTTGTATATTTAAGTTTTAAATATACAAAAAAGTAGGTTCTTGTATACATCATAATACACTATTGCATTTATTTATATTACAAGCTAGATTCATATTCAAATCCGATAGTCAAGTAGCACTAAAAGGGATCAACTCAGTAACCATCAAATCAAGTGGGTCAAAGAATGTCTAGAAGTGTCTTAAGAAGCTGAAGAAATTAGGCAAAGAAAATAATGTATTCCTACTCTGGGTTCCCGCTTACGAAGGTTTAGAAGTCAATGAAAAAGCAGACGATCTAGCTAGAAAATGAGCGAACACTCCACTAACTGGACTAGAACCGTTCTGTTTTCCAAGCGGAAACCAATTTAAAGCGGAACTCAAGAACCTGGAAGACTCCATCCGTAACCTGGAATGGGAACCCTCCAACGGTCTAAGGCACTCGAAAAAGTTTTTTGAAAAACGACCGAG